AGGGCTGGGTGGTCCCCACTGCTCTTAACTCTTGGCATGACTTAGAGCAGGTAGCCACCATGGGTCCCTTCCCTCCAGGGGATGTCCAGTCTCCTTTCCTTAGACTCACATTTCTCCAGGTGAGATCTGTGGATGTGTCACCTTGAGGGGTTCGCTAGTTCTCTAGAAGGATGCTTGGCTTTGGGTTTCCATTTTCATCACCAATAGGAGCATCAGGGCCTAAGGCCATCCAGACCTACTCTACTGAGTCTGTGCCTTTGTCACACCATATCCCGCAGTGCAGTCAGCAAAGCACCACCCGCCATCTTCAGTTAACAGTCAGGTGGAATGTCACGGGTTTTACACTTACCTACTTTGGAAACAGTTGGATTTTTTTTTTTTTTTTGAGACGGAGTCTCGCTCTGCCGCCCAGGCTGGAGTGCAGTGGCCGGATCTCAGCTCACTGCAAGCTCCGCCTCCCGGGTTCACGCCATTCTCCTGCCTCAGCCTCCCGAGTAGCTGGGACTACAGGCGCCCGCCACCGTGCCCGGCTAGTTTTTTGTATTTTTTTTTTTTTAGTAGAGACGGGGTTTCACCGTGTTAGCCAGGATGGTCTCGATCTCCTGACCTCGTTATCCGCCCGTCTCGGCCTCCCAAAGTGCTGGGATTACAGGCTTGAGCCACCGCACCCGGCCGAAACAGTTTGATTTTAAGGTTAGGTATAAGAACAAAAGCAAAAAGAAGTGGTTTTTTTTTTTTTTTTTTTTTTTGAGACGGAGTCTTGCTCTGTTGCCCAGGTTGGAGTGCAGTGACCGGATCTCAGCTCACTGCAAGCTCCGCCTTCCGGGTTTACGCTATTCTCCTGCCTCAGCCTCCCGAGTAGCTGGGACTATAGGCGCCCGCTACCTCGCCCGGCTAGTTTTTTGTATTTTTTTAGTAGAGACGGGGTTTCACTGTGTAGGCCAGGATGGTCTCGATCTCCTGACCTCGTGATCCGCCCGTCTCGGCCTCCCAAAGTGCTGGGATTACAGGCGGTTTTTGTTTTTTAATATACCCAGTTTTGTTTTACCTAAGTGATGTGATAAAAATGATTCAAGTTAACATCTTGAGGGGAGATGGGCCCACGAAAAATATTTTATTTTTTAATTTTTTGAGACAGTTTTGCTCTTGTTGCCCAGGCTAGAGTGCAATGGTGCGATCTTGGCTCACTGCAACCTCCACCTCCCGGGTTCAAGTGGTTCTCCTGCCCCAGCCTCCTGAGTAGCTGGGAATACAGGCATGCAGCACCACGCCCAGCTAATTTTGTATTTTTAGTAGAGACAGGGTTTCACCATGTTGGTCAGGCCAGTCTTGAACTCCTGACCTCAGGTGATTCGCCCGCCTCGGCCTCCCAAAGTATTGGGATTACAGGCATGAGCCACCATTCCTGGCTGAAAAATGTTTTCTTTAAAAGGATGGGCCAGGCATGGTGGCTCACGCCTGTAATCCCAGCACTTTGGGAGGTTGAGGTGGATGGATTACTTGAGGCCAGGAGTACAAGACCAGCCTGGCCAGCACAGTGAAACCCTGTCTCTACTTAAAATACAAAAATTAGCGGGGTGCAGTGGCATGCGCCTGCAATCCCAGCTACTCAGGAGGCTGAGGCAGGAGAACCACTTGAACCCAGGAGGCAGAGGTTGCAGTGAGCTGACATTGCACCACTGCACTCCAGCCTGGGTGACAGAGCAAGACTCCATCACACATACACACAAATAAATAAATTAAAGGAGTTAGTAGGTCGGGCGTGGTGGCTCACGCCTGTAATCCCGGCACTTTGGGAGGCCGAGGCAGGCAGACCATGAGGTCAGGAGATCGAGACCATCCTGGCTAACACGGTGAAACCCCGTCTCTACCAAAAATATAAAAAATTAGCCGGGCGTGGTGGCGGGCGCCTGTAGTCCCAGCTACTTGGGAGGCTGAGGCAGGAGAATGGCGTGAACCTGGGAGGTGGAGCTTGCAGTGAGCTGAGATCCGGCCACTGCACTCCAGCCTAGGCGACAGAGCAAGACTCCGTCTCAAAAAAAAAAAAAAAAGAGTATATTTCTCAGGTTTGAGAAAGTGTCCCTGACAAAAAGTAATTCCAATAGAATGTGACAAGTGGTTTGACAGGACAGGATGAGGTGCACTGGGAATATAAGCAGCAGCCCCAAACCTAGGCTGTGGATCAGTCTGGACTCTATCCTGAGGGCAGTAGAGTCTAGGAGTGCCTGGCCCTATCAGATCTGGGCTTTTTTGTTCAAAATAATGGATTAAATGAACAAGGCTGAAGGCAAGGAGACCCGCAAAGAGGCTGTCTACGCACTCCTCGAGGGTAAGAATGTGTCTGGAACCTCTCTGGGATCCCAACTCTGCACAGCCCTATGCTGAGGAGGTACACTGTGAGATGCCATGCACTGCTGGGCACCCAGGGTCAGCCCAAGACTTTGTGCCTTAGGCAGAGACATGAAGCTGAAAACAGTAGAAACACCCACTGTATGCCAAACACTGACCAGTAGCCTTTTTTTTTTTTTTTGAGATGGAGTCTCGTTCTTGTTGCCCAGGCTGCAGTGCAATGCAGCCATCTCGGCTCACCGCAACCTCTGCCTCCCGGGTTCAAGGGATTCTCCTGCTTAAGCCTCCTGAGTAGCTGGGATTACAGGCATGCACCACCACGCCCAGCTACTTTTTTGTATTTTTAGTAGAGATGGATTTTCTACATGTTGGCCAGGCTGGTCTTGAACACCCGACCTCAGGAGATCCACCTGCCTTGACCTCCCAAAGTGCTGGGATTACAGGCATGAGCCACCACACCTGGTCATTTTTTTTTTTTTTTTTTTTGGGACATCATCTCACTCCATCGCCCAGTCTGGAATGCAGTGGTGCAATCACAGCTCACTGCAGCCTCCATCTCCAGGGCTCAAGTAATCCTTCCTCCCACTTTAGCTCCCCAAGTAGCTGAGACTACAGGTATGTACCACCATGCCCAGCTAATTTTTTTGTTTTGTACAGATGGGGTCTCCCTATGTTGCCCAGGCTGGTCTCAAACTCCTGGGCGCATGTGATCCTCCTGCCTTGGTCTCCCAAAGTGCTGGGATTACAGGCGTGAGCCACTGTGCAGGGAGGGCCTGAGTGAGCCTTGAATTCTCCTCTTCCCCTCCTCCCTACACTCATGAAGGTGCTACAATCACCTCTCTTTTTTCAGATGAGGGAATAATGAGGCTCAGAGAGAAGGCAGTGACTTGGCCAAGGTCCAGGCTTCCTCTTGTGGAGAAGATGGAATCTGAGTCAGGATCTGTAACTTTAGAGCTTTTCTCATACAGATACTTGGATTAACCATTGCCCAGAGTATAAAGTCAGGTGACAGGAGTTCTGAGGGCTGAAATACTTACCGTGTCTCTACATGGAAGAAAGATAGGAAGTGGGAAGACGTGGGAGGTTCAGAGGGGATAAGGGAAGGAGGGAGAGACAGCACCAAAGGTTGGAGTAACAAGCTATCAAAGGACAGAGAGGGAGGCCAGGCGTGGTAACTCAAGCCTTTAATCCCAGCACTTTGGGAGGCCGAAGTGGGCAGATGACCTGAGGTCAGGAGTTTGAGACCAGCCTGACCAACATGGAGAAACCCCATCTCTACTAAAAATACAAAAAATTAGCCGGACGTGGTGCCTGTAATCCCAGCTACTCGGAGGCTGAGGCAGGAGAATTGCTTGAACCCGGGAGGCAGAGGTTGTGGTGAGCTGAGATGATGCCATTGCCCTCCAGCCTGGGCAACAAGAGCAAAACTCTGCCTCAAAAAAAAAAAAAAAAAAAAAAAGAAAGGACAGAGGGGGAAAGAGAAACAGGAGAGTTTGGGGGAGAGGTTTGACTGGCTCAGGAAGGGAGCAGTGGGGGCCAGTAGGGCAGGGCTGGGCCTCTGGTGTTAGGCTAACAGGCTACTGTGTGTCTCTAGGAAGGGGAGAAGCAAACTGGAGGCAAAGCAACAGTGGTCCGGGGTCCCCCGCCTCTGCTCCAGGAAAGCAGAACAAAGGCACCTGCGGGTCAGCAGTAGGCGCGATTCAAAGGCGACAATACTTTGCACTCTGATTAAAAGGGGATAAGGCTATCTCTTTTGAGTGTGTTCATGTGCATGGTTTGCAAAGCACTTTCACATCCAGTTCTGAATCTATTTGTCACAACAGTTCCACCAGGCAGGGGAGGATTCTGCGCACCCCCTGCTCCTTTACAGATGAGGAAATCAAGACGTGAGGCAGAACTGGATTATGAACACAGAACCTCTGACTTCTGTCCTTTCCTGGATTGTGATTCTGTCCCATCTCTTAACCACACTGCAAATCACAGCTGCCCCTTTCAACCAAGTCGCCGTCCAATACTGCGTTGGGGCAGGGGGCCGAATCCTAGATGCTCGATGCCTTCTCATCTTCCCTTGGCCTCCAAAGTTAATGATGACACCCAGACTTTGACAACATTACATTCCTTGCCTCTTCAGAACTATCCAAAGTCTGGGCCGGGCGTGGTGGCTCACGCCTGTAATCCCAGCACTTTGGGAGGCTGAGGCAGGTGAATCACAAGGTCAGGAGTTCAAGACCAGCCTGGCCAACATGGTGAAACGCTGTCTCTACTAAAAATACAAAAAATTAGCTGGGCATGGTGGCGGGCGCCTGTAATCCCAGCTACTTGGGAGGCTGAGGGAGGAGAATCGCTTGAACCCGGGAGGTGGAGGTTGCAGTGAGCCAAGATCGCACCACTGCACTCCAGCCCAGGTGACAGCACAAGACTCCGTCTCAAAAAAAAGGACTATCTAAAGTCTGAAATTGACCACAGCGACCCTATTTCATTGTCTTCCCTTGAGACAGGGAGAGTTAGGTGTTCTCCCCTAACCCAAGAAGAAACTGAAGCCCAGACAGCGAAAGTGACTGGCCCAAGACCACAGTGAGTCAGTGGCGTGGCTGGAATAGGACTAGAACACAGATCCTCTTACCACCCCCTTATCCAGATCCCCTCCTTACCTGCAGCACTGACAGGTTGGTCTGCCCAGAAAGGCTCAGCTTCTCCTGCTCTGAGGGGTAGGCGTTGTAGCGGTGCAAGTACAGCCAGTCCCGGAGGATCTTCACCGACTCCTTGGGCAGGTTCCCCCTGCGCTTCCTTTTGCCCGTCAGAGAGAGGAGGCCTTCGTCCTCGCCTAGATCACTGTCCGACATGGTGCCTAGGGGGCTGGACCTTGGGTAAACCTGGGACAAGTGACACAGGGGATGGGAACATCATTAGCATGTACTGCCTTTTCCTAGTCTCCAAACATGCTCAGCATTACTTGAGCCTGGGACACCAGAAATGGGGTAATTGCAATTCAGAGTCTCAGGCCATAACATAGCCCAAGCAAGCTAGAAGGTATGAGTCCAAAGTTCTTCCACTTCATGGAACAGGTAGGTGACTAGCAAATGGCAGCTCATTCACAAGCAGGACTCGGACTGGAAATAATTACAGTTTCCACTGAGGTCTACTATTCTCCATGTTCGGTACTGAGCATTTGGTTTTTTCTTTTCTTTTTTTTTGTTTTTGAGACAGGATCTCACTCTGTAGCCAGGCTGGAGTGCAGTGGCACCATCTCAGCTCACTTCAACCTCTGTCTCCTGGGTTCAAGTGATCTCCCACCTCAGCCTCCGAGTAGCTGCGATTACAGGCATGCATCTGGCTAATTTTCTGTATTTTTTGGTAGACACGGGGTTTCACCATATTGGCCAGGCTGGTATTGAACTCCTGGCCTCAAGTGATCTGGCAGCCTGAGCCTCCCAAAGTGCTGGGATTACAAGCGTGAGCCACCATGCCCGGCCTGTACTGAGCATTTTACACGTTATCTCATTTAATTACAATTCCTCAATAAGGGAGAAGCTATTATTATCATCATTTGATAGCTGAGGTAACAGAGAGAGATTAAGACAGCTGCCCAAGGCCAGCGCAGTGGCTCACAAAAAAAAAAAAAAAAAAAATCAGGTGTCATGGTGTGCACCTGTAGGCCCACCTACTTGTGGGACTGAGATAGAATTGCTTGAGCCCAGGAGGTCAAGGCTGCAGTGAACTGTGTTTGTGCCACTGCACTTCAGCCTGGGTAACAATAAAATAAAAAAGGTCTCAAAAAATAAAGGCTGAGCTCGGTGGCTTATGCCTGTAATCCTAGCACTTTGGGAGGCCAAGGCAGGCAGATCACGAGGTCAAGAGCTCGAGACCATCCTGGCCAACATGATGAAACCCCATTTCTACTAAAAAATCAAAAATTAGCTGGGCGTGGTGGCGCGCGCCTGTAGTCCCAGCTATTCCAGAGGCTGAGGCAGGAGAATTGCTTAAACCCGGGAGGCGGAGGTTGCAGTGAGCCGAGATGGTGCCACTGCACTCCAGCCTGGTGACAGAGCGAGAATCCATCTGAACAAAAACAAAACCAAACAAACAAAAGGCCGGGCGCGGTGGCTCACACCTGTAATCCCAGCATTTTAGGAAGCCGGGGCAGGTGGATCACAAGGTCAGGAGTTTGAGACCAGCCTGGCGAATATGGTGAAACTCTGTTGCTACCAAAGAATACAAAAATTTGACAGCTGTGGTGGCAAGCGCCTGTAGTCCCAGTTACTCAGGAGGCTGAGGCAGGAGAATCGCTTGAACCTGGGAGGCAGAGGTTGCAGTAAGCCGAGATCATGCCACTGCACTCCAGCCTGGGCAACACATTGAGACGCCATCTCAAAAAAAAAAAAAAAAAAAAAAAAAGCTGCCCAAGATACTATGGTGGTCAAACGGAGTTACTATGCAACCCAGAAATTTCACTCCTAGATAGTCCAAGAGAAATGAAAACTTGTGTCCACATAAAACCTCATACACACATATTCACAGCAGTATAGGCTGAGGTAGAAGGAATATTTGAACCCAGAAGTTCAAGACCAGCTTGGGCAACATAGTGAGACCTCATCTCTACAAAAAAAATAAAAGTCGTCTATCTTTTCAATGGTTTATTCGCCCATTAAAAAAAGGAATTCATAGCCGGGAGCGGTGGCTCATGCCTGTAATCCCAGCATTTTGGGGGACTGAAGCAGGTGAATCACTTGAGGTCAGGAGTTCAAGACCAGCCTGGCCAACATGGTGAAACCCCATCTCTACTGAAAATACAAAAAAATTAGCTGGGCGTGGTGGTGCGAGCCTGTAATCCCAGCTACTCGGGAGGCTGAGGTAGGAGAATTCCTAGAACCCAGGAGATGGAGGTTGCAGTGAGTGGAGATTATGCCATTGCACTCCAGCTTGGGCAACAAGAGCGAAACTCTGTCTCAAAAAAAAAAAAAAAAAAAAAGTCAGTCCTGACATATGCTACAATATAGTAGGCCTTGAAAGCATTATGCTAAGGGAAAAAAGCCAGTCATAAGAGACTACATGTTATATGATTTCATTGATCATGAACTCTATCGAGACAGGGTAGATTAGCTAACTAACAGCTCTGCAATTAGGGCTGTGGAGACAGAATGCTGATAGCTAAAGTGTATGGAGTTTCTTTCTGATGGGGTAAAAACATCCTGGGCCAGGTGTAATACAGGCTCAGGTGTAGTACAGGCTCATGCCTGTAATCCCAATGCTTTGGGAGGCCAAGGCGGGAGGATCCCCTGAGGCCAGGAGTTCAATAGCAGCCTGGGCAACACAAGAAGACCCTGTCTCTACAAAAAATAAAAATTGGGGCCAGGCATGGTGGCTCACACCCAAAATCCCAGCACTTTAGGAGGCTGAGGCGGGTGGCTTACCTGAGGTCAGGAGTTCGAGACCAGCCTGGCCAACATGGTGAAACCCCCGTCTCTACAAAAAATACAAAAAGTAGCTGGGTGTGGTGGTGGGCACCTGTAATCCCAGCTATGCAGGGGAGGGCTGAAGCAGAAGAATTGCTTGAACCTGGGAGGTGGAGGTTGCAGTGAGCCGGGATCATGCCATTGCACTCCAGCCTGGGTGACAGAGCGATTCTCTGTCTTAACAAAATAAAAAAAAATTAAAATAAAAAATAAAATAAAATAAAAATTAGCCCAGTATGGTGTGCCAGTAGTCCCAGCTGCTCGAGAGGCTGAGGTGAGAGGATCCCTTGAACCCAGGAGTTCAAGGCTGTAGTGAGCTATGATCGCACCAGTGCATGTCAACTTGGACAATATAGTAAGACCCCATTTAAAAAAATAAAATAATATAAAAAAAAAGCCACATGCTGTGGCTCACACCTATACTCCTGGCACTTTGGGAGGCCAAGGCAGGTAGATCACTTGAGCTCAGTAGTTCAAGACCAGCCTGGGCAACACGGTGAAACCCCATCTCTGCAAAAAAAATACAAAAATTAGTTGAGCATGGTAACACATGTCTGTGGTCCTAGCTACTCTGGGGGCTGAGGTGGGAGAATCGCTTGAGCCTGGAGGCAGAGGTTGCAATGAGATGAGATAACACCACTGTACTCCAGTCTGAGAGGCAGAGCAAGACCCTGTCCCCCCATCCCCCTCAAAAAAAGTCCTAAAATTGACTATAGTGATAGTTGCAAACATACCAAAACCTGCTGATAAGTATACTTCAAATGGGTGAATTGCATGGTATGTGAGTTATATCTCAATAAAGCTGTAACGGAAAAAAATCCCACCCCCAGCTTAGGATACTAAAGTTGGATTTGGACCAGGCGTCTACCCACCTTCTCTTGTGGGCTGTATACTGTACTGCCTCCTAGGTCTCCCAACGCCCAGTGAGAACTCCGGAAACTACAGATCACCATGGTCCTGCAGCAGTCCATGTGATATTTAAGGAGCACCTACTGTGTACCTTGCAGTGAGAGAGGTGAGTCATCTCTCTACTGGTTGCTTCTTGGACATTCTCCTTTGTCAGGCCCCTTGGCCTGGTCCTAGACTCAACCACTCAAAATCCAGATGAATGAGCAAGGCCCACCCTCCACTTGGCACTGTAATCCTGGGCAAGGATCCTCCCCTCTCTGGGCTTGAGTCCTGTCTTCACCTGTCAAATGAAGGAAGGATTTTCCCTAGATAACCCAAATCAGCTGCTCAGCCCCCGACAAAGTTCTGTTTCACACATGCAAAAAATATTTTCTTTTTTTTTTTTTGAGATGGAGTCTTGCTCTGTAGCCCAGGCTGGAGTGCAGTGGCGCAATCTCGGCTCACTGCAACCTCCGTCTCCTGGGTTCAAGCAATTCTGCCTCAGCCTCCCGAGTAGCTGGGATTACAGGTGTGTGCCACCACACCTAGCTAATTTTTTTTTTTTTTTTTAGTAGAGATGGGGTTTTGCCATGTTGGCCAGGCTGGTCTCGAACTCCTGACCTCAGGTGATCTGCCGGCCTCGGCCTCCCAAAGTGCTGGGATTACAGGCCTGAGCCACCGCATCCGGCCAGATTTTCATTTTAAAAGCAAAAGTTCTAGGCCAGGCTGATGCCAGGATCTCAAGGCTCCTCCCTTCTCAGCCTTTTAACAGCTCCCCAGCAGGCCAGCCAACAGACTCTGGCATCTCCCAGGTTTTGTTTCCTCTTCTTGGACCTGCGCCCAGATCTCTGGGCTGGCTAGGCCAGGCTTTCGAGGGAAGGGTCTACCCTTTCAGCCAGGCCACCTGGAGGTGAGACAGGCACTGGTTAGAGGTGCCACTCCTCAGACAGCACCACAGCAGGCGCTTTCTGAGGTCAGACAGACATTTCTAGATGGCCAGGGCAGCTGGGATCCGGGCTCAGTGATGCAGCCCTGGCCGGCTGTGAGAAGTTTACTCAAGGTTAGCTGTACAAATTCCACCCTGGCTGACAGCCAAGTCTGTCTGCAGGGTTCCCCGGGTGGGCCCTGGGGAACAACCTCTCAGCCTACACAAACTTCTCCACCTCGGTAGTTCTGCAACCCAGGGCCATCTATAGGCTGGGAGGTTTCCCACATATGCACCCTACACCGCACCCAGACACACTCAAGCCAGGCAATTAACCAACAGCGCTAGGATAACTGGCCCGGACCCATCGCTCAAGCCCTACAAACCCTAGGGTTTATCACCGACACATACAGCACGCACACGCACAGATTGCAGACCCAGGCCTAGCACGAACAACAGTGACCCACGCAACTAACCCAACTTTTGTACCCGCCCACCCACGAACTCCAACCGACCCGGCCACCCCCAATTTCTCCGACAGGGAAAACTCCAGGCGTCATCACACTAACAATCAGTTCTACCCTCAGTGACCAGTGGCAGCACCCCCTCGACACAACATCCCATGCACCCTCCTACAGACTCCCACGACGCCACCTGCAGCCACTCCCGCACCAACTTTCTGACAACTCCCCTAGCTCGGCCCCGACACTCCCCCCGGCCGCGCACTCACGCCCGCATTCCCAGCAATGCAGACAAAGCGCGCAACCTCCCCCGCGGCCCAGACCGAGTCGGAGCACATGGCTCCCCGGTCGGCGAGGAATCGGCCGGCGCTTGGGGCGCCTGCACCCCACAATACCCTCACCCCTGGCCGACTCCGCGCACCAGCTCCCCGGCGGGCCCGCCATCCCGGTGGGGCGGGGGTTCTGGAAGAAAGAAAACTCACGTGTCTGTCCTGGAGCAGGAAAAAGTTTGGTTCCCACCCCCTTCCCCGGCAGTTCGGGGCTGGCCGACTCTTCGGGGCGCGGGGCCGGCGGAGCGTGCGCGCTCGGCTTTGTGCTCCGAAGTCGGCCCTGAGGGGGAGGGGAGGGGAAGGGAGGGGAGGGGGCTGGGCTCCCACCTCCGCGCCGCCCCCCCACAGCCCTGCGCCCAGACTCCATGTTGGCCGCCCCCTGCCCCGCAGGCTGCGCGATTCTCCTGCGGGAGGCTCGGCTCACCCTCGGCCTGCCCGAGGGTCCCGGCGCCAACAAACTTTCTCCGGGGCGCCGGCCTCACGCGCCCCGCTTCCTTGGCCCGCCTGGGAGTGACAGATGCCTCAGAGACAGACTTTCCTTTGTTCCAAAGGAAAGGGGAACTCGCGCGGGCTCCCCAGAGCCCCCCCGCTCCGGGCCCTTACCGCGGCCCCCACTCCCAGCTGTCACTCTCGGCCGCCCCCTGCCCGGCTCGGCGGCGGGGGGGCCCTGCCGGCGGTTAGCAACGTGCACTTTTGAAACCAAACAAATCCGCCCCCCCGCGCGCTCACTCAGGTCCGGCGCAGGATCGGCCCTCTCCTGGGGTGGGATCCTATGAAGCTGGGCCCCCCGCCAGGGCCCCGAGCAGGCTTCCTCCCGGGGGCTGGAACAGCCCCCGACCAGCCCCCGGAGCGCAGCGCATTCGGGACTCACAAACACCCCCGAGCTCGCACACCCCCAACCGCACGCGCCAGGACGACGCCCCCTCCCCCGTCCGACTGAGAAAAAGAAACTTTCCAAGTTGTCCGCGCGCCCCCACCCCCATCTGGCCCTCTCCTGCTCCCTGCACTAACTTTTCCGAGAGGCTTTCGGGTCCACGCGGCCTCGGGCACGGCGCCGGGAGTCCCGGCGGGGGGCGGGGGGCCCCGGGGGCGCGCGCAGCGTACCTGCCCGGCCTGACACTCGGCCTGACAGCTCGCGGCTGGAAAGCACCTCGCGGCCTGACGTCAGATCCCCTCTCCTCCCCCCGCGCCCTCCGCGCCCTCCCCCACCCGCCCGGAGGGAGAAAACAAACTTTGTGAGGAGCGCGACAAGCTGCGCCCACCCCCCGCGGGGCGGGCCGAAGGCGCCGAGGGGCTTCGCCCCGCCCAGCGCGCCCGGAGGGGGCGGGGCCGCGGGCACCTTCTTCCTGCGCCCACCCCGCCCTCAGGAATGCTGCATGGCCTCCCCAGAGCGGCGGTGGGAGCCTCAGCCGGGGAGAGCCCGCTCGGGGGCAGGAAGTGGCCCGGCCCTCCTCGTGGAGGGTGTTTCCGGAGCGCCTACTGTGCTCCTCGCCGGAGTGGGGGTCGTTACCGAGGGGGAACTTCTGTAAATCGTAACTTTTGTCATTTCGCGCCCCCCACAAGATGTCCTGCCGGCGGTGCGATTGCTCCCGTTGCTTCGAGGGGAAACTGAGGCCAGTTAGTCCGGGCACTTACCCTCAGCTGGTAAAGGACTGGGCTCTGATGGGGACGCCTGTTATGATCTCAAGGGCCTATAGAGTCTGGGAGGCCGCCTCCGACCTAAACCCAAAAAGCACATGGTCGGGCTCACAGGGGGCGGCCAGAGGTGAAAACTGCCAGTGTTTTGCAGCGACGCTGTGCGGGTCACTTCGTGTATGTCATCCCGTCTCATCCTCGGGTGATGGGGTATGTGTTGTCCTTTGTAAGTCTCTGGCTTGTTCATGAGCCGCAGAGAGGTTCTTGATTGGCTTTTGTCACACAGTCAACCGGTGTCATTCAGCCCAGGTCGGTCGATAGTGAAGCCTGATCCCTTACCCGTTGTGCTCGGCGTTAAACCATCAGTCCAGGAGCTCCCAGAGTTCCTGTCTGGTTTCTTTTTCCTCTTCTGCCGGTTACACCCTACTCCAGAAGGTTTTCCTTGGCCTCCCCCACCCGGGTCAGTACACTCTTCACCCGCTGTCTGCTGTGGGTACCACATACTGTGAAATACCTGTTAACCAATCTCCTAGGGCACCCCCACGCCCCCCAGCCCTGTACCCGGGCACGGCTGGGCCCAGATATCTAGGGCCCCTGAGCTTGTAAATCGCCTTGAAAACAGCTTTTGGTCTTAATGGCCCTTTAGCAAGGGAGAACTCTAGGAACAATACTCGTTAATTTTTCGCAAGCAAGCCTTAAGCCAATCAGAACGCCGATTAAAAGATTGTTAAGGTTTCACCTGGACACCCCATAGAAGCCAAACTTCCTGCAAATGTTAAAAACCTCCTCACAGCAGCGGGTGAAATGTCAGTGGCACTGCCCGTTGCTCTCCATTTCACAGACAGGGAAACTGAGGCCCAGAGTGTGGGTCAGAAACAATTTTCTTGGCCGAATAAATGGTGCTTCCCCCACAGCCCTCTGAAAGAAAAAGCCATGTCTGGGTTGCCTTAGGTAAGAAATGTAAAACCAATGGGCCTTGGCCTCTAGGAAATGTATGGGACAGGGACCTTCAGAAGAGGGGAGCCCCAGGGGGAAACGGGTGGGATCAGGTGAGCCTGGAGAGGGGGCTCCGGTAGTGGCTGCTGAGCTTGAACTCTGCACTAGGCATTTTTCTCCTGTATGCCTAAGAGCCACACTGCCCTTTCTGGGGAAACCACTGGGGGCCTGGGCTAGAGGCAGAGACCGCACTATAAATTGTGCCTGCAGCAGCCCCTTAGACCAGTTCTTCCCAAGTCTGGTGCTAGATGAGGTTGGGGAAATGGAAGGGAGTGACTGCCTCCACCTCCACCTGAGAGCTGCATAACAAAGACCTTCCTCCTGGAGGACGGGGTAGGGGTGAAGGGGGGCTGGTAGCCCATCAGATTTTGCACGTAAGCAAGCTTCACAGGTAAAGCCTTAGTGCAATGAGAGTTTGAGAATTACTGTGTAAAGTTTCTCAACTAGTAAGTATCAGAATTTAAAATGTGTGGATTCTCTAAGCCAGTAATTCCACTTCTAGGAATCTGTGTTTAGAAGTAGCTGTACAACAATGATAAATGCTTATAGAAGATTATTCTTTGCAGAACTGTTCATTCGGGAAGATTGCAAACAGCTAAATACCCCTCACCAGGAGCTGGCCCATTATAGCAACTCTGAGACCTCTCTACTGCAGGCTCTGAAAATGGGGTAAGTTGGTGCACGCTAATGTAGGGGCATGGCCAAGGTGTGTTTATTGACAGCTTACAGTGTCCCAACATGGAGGGACTTTGGACATACTTGGTGAGAACTTTAGTGGGAAAACTTTTTCAAAGTGATAAGTTATTTTATTGTCATTTTTCTCTCCCCCACTTTTTTTCTTTTCTTTTTTTTTTTTTTTTGAAACAGAGTCTTACTCTGTCTCCCAGGCTGGAGTGCAGTGGGGCGATCTCAGCTCACTGCAACCTCTGCCTCCCGGGTTCAAGCGATTCTCCTGCCTCAGCCTAAAGGTGCCCACCACCATGCCTAGCTAATTTTTGTGTTTTTAGTAGAGACGGAGTTTTGCCATGTTGACCAGGCTGATCTTGAACTGACCTGAAGTGATCCACCGCCTCAACCTCCCAAAGTGTTGGGATTACAGGTGTGAGCCCAGCCTTCTCCCCCTCTTTCTAAATTAAAAAATATTGTGGTAAGAAGCTCCCCCCACCTTTTTTCCCCATGTTTGAAGAAACTGGGTCACTAAGGGAAGAAGAGACTTGCCTAATACGAGTTTGGGGTCCTGACCCCGGGAGGGAGCTGGGGATAGACTAGGAGAGGAAGGAGAGGTGGAAAGGCATCCAAGCCGAGACCAGCCTGGCTGCCCAGGTCATCTAAGTCAGTTCCCTGCCTCCGTGCCAGAAAAACCCAAACCGGAGGCTCTGGGATATGAGGCTCCAGGTTCATCCTGCCAGTTTCTAGTGAACTTGGTAATCACGTAGGTTCAAATGAATAAATCCACTGTAAAAAAAAAAAAAAAAAAAAAAAAAAAAAAAGGCGAGCCATTTCCTTTTTGTTTTTGAGACGGAGTTTCGCTCTTGTTGCCCAGGCTGGAGTGCAGTGGCAAGATCTCAGCTCACTACAACCTCTGCTTCCCAGGTTCAAGCGATTCTCCTGCCTCAGCCTCCTGAGTAGCTGGGATTACAGGCATGCAACCACCACACCCGGCTGATTTTGTATTTTCAGTAGAGACGGAATTTCGCCATGTTGGCCAGGCTGGTTTTCAACTCCTGACCTCAGGTGATCCGCCTGCCTCGGCCTCCCAAAGTACTGAGATTACAGGTGTGAGCCACTGCACGTGGCCACTGCTCCATTTTTGATGGAAGTGGGGAAAGGCACCAGCATTTACTGAGAATCCACATGAGCCAAGTCGTGTCTCAGGATAAAGGAGAAGATGGGGTTCTGTGGCGTAGAGGGAAGAGTCCAGCAAAGGCCAGGGAAAGTGGAAGTGTTCAGGAAACAACTGGATTGGGTGAGATGGAAGGGCCGTGAAGGCCAGCATAAAGAATTTGGATTTGGCAGTGTGGGCAGTAGAGAGCCCCAGCTGGTTCCTGTGGAGAGCTGGGGAGAGACTGAGGGAGGATAGTTGGTGACTCAGCTCTGGGTAATTGAGGCTGGGCGGATGGAGACCCGCCTCTGAGATCTAGGGAGATTTGTGGCTGTTATGTTAGGTTCTGCATTTTCATCTAATGTTGGTAAGTGGAATTCCACATCTTCCTCCTGAAAAGTCTTGTAGTGTCTTGTTGGTCAACCATAATTTGCCTAGCTCTCTCCTAGTTGTTGGGTATTTACTCACGTAACTAATTCCTGAGTGCCCGCCTGTGTCTGGCTGTGTGCCTATAGCTGGAAAACCTACAGCCAACCTTAGTCCTGAAGGCTTTGGGCGACAGTGCCTTGTGGTGGGAAGGCTGTGGCCCTGGGACTTGGTTGCTAGCCAGGTGATTTAGGATAATCATCCACACCTTCTGAGCCTCCCTTTTCTCATGTTGTGGAAATACAAGGCTTTGGTGAGAGTCAAAGAAAACAGGCACACCCTTTGTTTTATTGTGCCTTGCTTTTTTGCGCTTTGCAGGTACTGCATTTTTTACAAAGTGAAGGATTTTGGCAACCCTGCGTCGAGCAAAGTCTACCGGCATTATTTTTCCAAAAGGATGCTCAGTCTGTGTCTCTGTGCCACATTTTGGTAATTCTTGCAATATTTCAAAGTTTTGTTGTTATTATTTCTAGTATGGTGATCTGCTATCAGTAATCTTTGATGTTACTATTGTAATTGTTTTGGGGGGTCATGAGTGATGCCTGTGTAAGATAGCAAACTTAATCCATCAATATTGTATGCGTTCTGACCGCTCCACCAACCAGCTGTTTGCAATTAGTAATCCTACAGTGGCCTCTAAGTGTTCAAGTGTAAGAATGTGTTGCAAATCTCTCACTTCACATCGAGAGCTAGAAATAATTAAGCTCGGTGAGAAGGGCATGTTGAAAGCCAAGATAGGCCTTTTTTGTTTTTTTTTTAGTTTTTAGTAGAGGTGAGGTCTCGCTGTGTTGTACAGGCTGGCCTCCAACTCCTGGGCTCAAGTGATCCTCCTACCTTGGCCTCCCAAAGTGTTGGGATTAAAGGTGTGAGCCACCATGCCCTGCCTCTGGAGTAGCACTTTTAATTTCACTCAAGAACTATTGGCCAGGTGCAGTGGCTCACACCTCTAATCCCAGCTACTGGGGAGGCTGAGGCGGGAGAATTGCTTGAACCTGGGAGGCAGAGGGTCCAGTGGACTGAGATCACACCACTACACTCCAGCCTGGGCGACAGCAAGACTCCGTCTCAAAACAAACCAAAACTATCTGGCTAGGTCTGATGGCTCATGCCTGTAATCCCAACACTTCAGGAGGCCGAGGCGGGAAGGTCTCTTGAACCCAGGAGTTTGAGGCCAGCCTGAGCAACATGGCAAGACCCTGTCTCAACAAAAAATAATCAGCTGGGCATGGTGGCAAATACCTGTAGTTCCAGCTACTTGGGAGGCTGAGGTGGAGGAAGGCTTGAGCCCAGGAGGTTGAGGCTGCAGTGAGGTATAATTGTGCCACTGTGCTCCAGCCTGCGTGAAAGAGTGAGACCCTGTCTCAAAAATTGGCCAGGCGTGGTGGCTTATGCCTGTAATCTTAGCACTTTGGGAGGCCAAGGTGGGCGGATCACCTGACGTAGGGAGTTCGAGACCAGCCTGACCAACATGGAGAAACCGCATCTCTACTAAAAATACAAAATTAGCTGGGCGTGGTGGCGCGTGCCTGTAATCCCAGCTACTCAGGAGTCTGAGGCAGGAGAATCGCTTGAACCTTGGAGGCGGAGGTTGCAGTGAGCCGAGATCTTGCCATTGCACTCTAGCCTGGGCAATAAGAGTGAAACTGCATCTCAGAAAAAAAAAAAAAAAAAAAAAATCCTAAATTACTCTGCCTGTGCTCCAGAAATGGAACAAGAAAGCCTGGATAACAGCACATCTGTTTACAGCATAGTGTACTGAATATAGGTTCCACTGTAGGTCCCACTCTTGAGACCTACAGTTCAGAAAAGGCTCCTTATGAAATATTACCACTCATTGACACCTAGGCTTCATTGGAAGACTGGGAGTCTGCGCTCGGACCCGGAAACAGCTGGGTATGGCATCCCCAATCAGAGCAGTAGAAATCAGCAGGTCTGAGTTGGCCATTGTGTGGCCAGGGAGCTTAATGAGCATATTTTCTTCATTCTTTTTACTAGGGTCAGGGCTATAGAATGGAAGGGGATCAGATTTCATTTGCATGGTTTCATCCTTTTTATATGTGGGAATTTTCTTACCTCTCGGAATATCGTTTAAATTACAAGAGCAAATATACCATGTTCAGGATGGGACGTTAAACCTTTGAGAGGCACACAAAGAAAAAGCGAAGACCCCTCCCCTGAGCCCTCCCTTCAGCATTAGCAGTGATGACAATTAGGTGTATATTCTTTCTTTTCCACCATCAGATAAGTGCATGTAGATGTCCACACAGGTCCTGAGAGATACTGCCTTCCCTGTTGCTCTCTCTTTTATTTTGCCTCAATTTTCAATAGGTCTGTATTTAATACTTTCTACATAAACATCTCTGCAGTTGTGAGAATTTCCTGAAATAGATTCTCTGAAGTGGAATTACTGGGACTGACAGCATGGGTAGATATTGTGAAAGCAGATTACCAAAGTGCTCACGTGCCGGCGATTGTGGTGTTGGTGAGCTTGTTTTACCCAGTCCGCAGCCACAGCAAGTGTTAGCAATTTTGTGTTAATTAATCTTTCCTCATTTTTTTTTTTTTTTTTTTTTTTGAGACGGAGTCTCGCTCTGTCGCCCAGGCTGGAGTGCAGTGGCCGGGTCTCAGCTCACTGCAAACTCCGCCTCCCGGGTTCACGCCATTCTCCTGCCTCAGCCTCCGGAGTAGCTGGGACTACAGGTGCCCACCACCTCGCACGGCTAGTTTTTTTTTGTATTTTTAGTAGAGACGGGGTTTCACCATGTTAGCCAGGATGGTCTCGATCTCCTGACCTTGTGATCCGCCCGTCTCGGCCTCCCAAAGTGCTGGGATTACAGGCTTGAGCCACCGCGCCCGGCCAATCTTTCCTCATTTGATGGGTGAAGACTAGCCTAGGTTTTTTTTTTTCTTTTTCTTTTTTTTTTTTTTGAGACGGAGTCTAGCCCTTCCGCCCAGGCTGGAGTGCAGTGGTGCTATCTCGGCTCACTGCAAGCTCCGCCTCCTGGGTTCACACCATTCTCCTGTAGTCTAGGTTTTTAATCTGCATTTTTTATTAGTGAGATTGAACACCTTACAATTTCAGAATGATTGGACACTGGTCACTGTGAATCATCTCCATATCTTTTCAGTCATAGTGATTTCTTTCTGATTTACAAGCTCTATTACACTAGTAAGGGTTCTCTTTGTTTGTTTGTTTGTTTCTTTTTTCATTTTTGAGACAGGGCAAGAGCTCTGTCACCCAGGATGGAATGCAGTCACTGCAGCCTTGACCTCCTGGGCTCAAGTGAGCCTCCTGCCTCAGCCTCCCAAAGTGCTGGGATTACAGGCCTGAGCCACAGTGCTGAGCTATGGTAAGGATTCTCAACCCTGGTTTGTCATGTTTGCTCCAAGTAGTTTTCCTTTTGTCTAAGATTATTGTTTG